GAAAGCACTGTAAACAATGCAACAGGTATTTAGGGAAACCCAGAGTATAACAGTGCAAAACAAGCCACAGAAAGCACGTTGTAGGCTGATGTCAAAAATGGTTTGGTTTGCTTTTTAACAAAGACATTTTGTGGATGCACTGCACTATTTCAAGAGGTGTACATCCAGTTATTTTTCGATCATTTGTGTCCTGACAATACTTTAATCCTAAATACGGATGAACGAACACATACTCTTCTGGTCAACGGTTCAGATACGCAGGGGACACAGTGCAGCAAGACCAGCAATATCCCTGTGTGACCTACATGCACCTCCTAGGACCTTCCTGCGTCGCATTCTTCACAACCAGCGGACTGATGACGTGCGGCGTTACAGAAGCAGCAATGTCAGTCTTGTTCCAGGGGCCGTCAGATGAGAATAGCAACAGAGGGGCGGAGAAACGGTACTTGCATAGATGTTGTTCAAGGTGATGGGGAGAAACTAGGAAAGGTCCCTCTTTGAGGGATACCTCATGTAGTTGATCGGGACACTACATCTCAGTCATTCTTTGCATTAGCATAATTTTTGGGTTTGTAGCAAGCACTTTCATTTTCCACATCGCAAAACTTCTGATTCATCATCCATCCTTCCTACGCTCGGCACAATGACCTGCTATGCTCTGAAATATACAGGGACGGGTGACGTATCAAATAACTCACACCTCATCATGCAGGTGCAAAAAGAGGACCACCTTGCATTAGTATTTGCACCTCGTCACAAATTCCTGTGTGGTCTTTCCCCCCCCCCCTTTCCTACTTTGCAGAAAGCGTCAGAGAGGCAGAACTGCACCAAAGTGGGTTTAACTGTTCTGCTTTGCAAACACTTCTCACCCACAGACTTCACAACTCCTCACAAATCTCAACTGTATTTCCCAAGAGTTTTTGAAACAAATGACATTGTGCCACCTGCTCCAGCTGGTAAACCGAGTCACAAAGTGCCACGCTAGCTCACACGATGGCACTGGAGACAGACTTCAGAGGTTTTTTACCCTCATCTGCTGTTGTGATGGGCCATGTCTGATTATTTTTCAAGTATTTGTATCAGAAAAACATTCCATTAAGTCACTCATCCTACTGCACATAATTACATTCTTCTCTTGCAGAGATAACCAAAGCTTCTGGGAATTCCAGGTATTTTTATACAAAACAGAGAGCAAACATTAAGCAGAGAATAATCAGGCGAAAAGCTACACAGAAGAAATTAGACCACAGGTACAAGGCCTAATTCTGACTGCAGAAAAAAAAGAACAGAAAAATCAAAATTTTCTGCTTGTATAATTAACCGAGCGACTTTGTGCCCCACAGTAGAGCACACAGCTAAGCACACAAACCCCAGCTGCACCATGGGAGCTGCCTCCCAACACTTCTGAAACTCAAGGGAACCCAAACGATGGCACTGAGGGGCTGCAGCGTCACAGGTATCTGTTTGCAGAGCACAATGCGCTGCATTAAGTGTCAGGGAACCGCTCAAGCCGTAAGCTATCAAAAAATGTAAGACCTGGTGTAAAAGCATACTTTCCCCTAGTAAACCCCTGAAGAAAGAAATCGGGTTCCAGCGGGAAGTTGAGTAATTCTGATCTCACAAATGGGTTTAAAAATAAATAGGTAAAGAAGAATTAAAAAATAAACCCTCTATGTGAATTTCATGACCAAAAAAGTGAAATTAAAGTTTCCCTTTCTCCTGATTCCTGTTAAAAGTTCTACACCAAGCTTCTACTAGTGTGAATACGTAACTTGAAAGCACAAGCGGACGGGTACTGGAAATACACGTGTGCAAGCAGAATGCACTTAAAAACACCCTTTGTTTTCTTCATGATAAAAGAAAAAGATTTGTTCTTGCTGCTGCTGAAAGTAATTGGAAGCTATCTGGCAGAGTACCCGGTGAACGCCAGCAAGGCCTCGTATTTCTAAGAACTGACGACCATTCTAAGAGCTTACTGTTGAGAAGGGGAACGGCTTCAGCACCAGTGGGGGGGAGCACAGGGTGACAGAGCGGGTGTTGACTTTACGCCACCTGCCCTTTCCAACATTTCCTGCCACCGCGTTCAGCCCGCCTAGGGCGAAGGCAGCACAGGCGCGGTTTCATGGCCGTGAGCAGCAAAGGAGCCTCCTGCAGATAGGGACGTGCGCGCCAAGCGCCGCGGGCTGGGGCTTCCATCCCGCCGCCTCGCAGCCCGCACCCTCTCC